ACTCTCATGATTGCATGCCTGAGCGGATTTTTGACCATTGACCACGCGTTCATCCTCGAATAGACGGAGCACTATTTCCACAGAACCGATCACCAATCGTTCCTTTCTACCCTGCCAAAGGTGGCTCAAAAATGTTTTCCCCATCCTGTCTATGACAGGTGAGGGGCAGCTCACACTTCTGGCGCTTGCGATCAAGGCGGAGAACCCGTCCTTCATCTCCTTCGAGATTACAAATTTCCCGGCCTCAGGTGGGGGTGATCCGTCGCCAGTGGCGACGGCGGCGGCGGCGCCCCCTGTCCCCGCCGAGAGCAACGCCTGCCTCGGCCCTCCCCCCGACCCTGTTGATCCTGACACTAGCCCTGCCCTCGCTGTTTTGGCGTTCGCCAGCCTCTCCTTGTCTTTCTCTCTCTGCACGAACGGACGGAGTAACGTCGGCAGAAAAAAGCGCCGGCATGGGTTCGCGAGCAGTGGGTCGGCACCGACGATGATTTGCAGTCGACTACGGGTAGCGCCCGCACTTGGGAACCTCTAGTTTTGGTCGAGGCTGGGATTCTTGGTTCTTTTGTGGGCTACGAAACCAACAGCAACAAGCCAAGTCTCCCAGAGGGCTGATGTAAGGCATTCATGGGAGCCCTCTCTCCCTCCTCCATAAGAGAAGCCATCCCTCTCTGTGTGTTTCTGCCTCTCTCTGTCTGTCTGTCTCTCTCGCTCTCTCGATCCATGTACTACTCCTGTACCATCAGGCTTCTTGGTCGCCCTTGTCTCACCTCCCATGCGGCCACCTGTCTCAGGAGCTCCGCCTTGGGCAACGGCACCTCACGGTCGTTGGACGCAGCAGACAGCAGAACGAGCCGCTTGTGCCTAGCGACCATGGCGGCCTTGCCCCCTCCTACCGGGAGGCCGATGCGAATCAGCAACGCTTTCAGCTGGGGGATGAACGACAAAAAAAAACGCACAAAACGAAGAGAATGTGATGTTTTAGTCATCGCCGGAGAGCACAGCCGCGGTGGCGTTTTCGGATTGATGCTTTCCTGCAGCGGAGGGGAAGGATGCGGACATTAAAGCGGGGAAAGCAACTGAAGGAAAACGATCAAGACGCGGACAAAATAACACTGGTGAGATAGAAGGAAGAACATGGTATGTCGTGTCTAGGATTGAGTTTTCGTAAGCATTTGTTTTCTCGGCTAGGAAATCGATTGCACCAGTCGAATAGGTGATACTTAGTACAACCGTGACGATATTCGGCGCAAGAAGTGGTAGAAGAAGATAGCAGGGTAACAAATCAACCCACATGAATGAAAACATCAACATCGTTCAGGATGACCGCAACCATAAAAGCAGGTCATTGTCGTGGTAGATAGACGACGAAGAATTGCGGCGGCAGAAAAATACCACCCGTGAATCCCGAGAGCCGTGTTGCGGAGGCACGAAAAACGTCCTTCTCTTCCTCTGGCTATCCACTCGTCAGCAACTGGCTGCGCGGCTGCATACAGCACAAAGAGATCGAGCATGTTCCTTCATGCCTCACCACAAACCCACGCAACAAATATCAATCCCTCTTGTTCATTGGGGCTGGCCGGCGGGGCAAGGTAACACACCAACATCCATCTTTCGCCCCCTGAACACACCTTGCTATCGTTAAGGGAGTGGTAGTGCACCGCCTTGACAACGCCGCCATCTCCGTCACGCCCTTGGCCGGCCCCGACCGCGCAAACCTTGCTCCTCCCGGACGGAGCGGGTTGCTCTCTCGCCGGCGCCGGCGCCGCTCCTCTTGCCGGCGCCGTGGCGCTAGCGTTAGCCGCGGCCAGGATGGCTCGACGGTTGTGCTTCCACGTGGTGCAGATCTGTGCGGAGGGAGGCCAGGGCCGTTGTCAGACCGGAACTAATGACAGAAAACCTCCGGCAACACTAATAAAGTCAAAAAGGCGGCAGAGACCACACATCAACATGTTCGACAACATGCAGCATCTCCCCCCGACAATATTTTCGTCTTGACAGGAGCAAGGGCAACTTCCATGAACCCGCCACCAGCCTACGCATGGCAGAACCACCCATCACACATCGACAGCATGTAAGGGCACCGCACTCACAGACCGAAGCTCCTTGGACAATTGCAGCATGTTCGACGCGGCTGTGAACACAGCGCGAGTGTGTGCGAAAAGTGACACGGGCAAGCAAAGAACGAAACACCCACCGGAAGAGGCGTCGGGGAGAAAGAGATGGGTCAGTGGACCCACCGGCCATCCCTCTCTACAAGCTGCGAAATGCGTATCGGGGCTTCTGCTGGGGTACAGCTCGTCAAATATAATCGTACGTCAGTCAGCCATGCCGTTTCCCATTCTTCTTCTCTGCGATGTGCTGCTCGCGATGCAAAAGCCAACAAGCGCGTGAGGTAGTTTCTTCAGCGAAACCCTGCATCAATTTTGTTCACACCAAAAAAATCTCGCCAGTAGGACGTCGTCGCCCTTAGAAGTGTACACAGATAGCTCCCGGAGCCCACTATTGATACCATGCACTGAAGAGAAGGGGCGCTTTAGCCCCCCATCACCCCCAATCATGGCCGGCTATGTTTCTTTCGAATATTCAAAGAACAAGGTCGCATGGGACTCTCTGTCAGCCCTCCCACCACCCCAACAACACCAAGAGGATATCGTTTCTCTCTCTCTCTCTCTCTCTCTCTCTCTCTCTCTCTCTCTCTCTCTCTCTCTCTCT